AGCCGACGGAGGTGACCGGGAGATGAGCCGAACCGCGGTCGTCCTCTTCCTGTCAGCGGGGAGAAACGCTCGTCATGGCGCGGGGGTGACGGGGGGAGAAAGCGCGGAGCCTCTGGGGGGGGATTAACGTGGCGACGGGGTGAGAGAGCATCGCTCGGCAGCCGGTCGGCGAGCCTCCGTCTGTGTGGAGCAGACAGCAACAGCAGACTGCAGGGCTGACGAGAGGACGAGCGAGAGAGAGAGCGTGTGCGTGTGTGTGTGTGTGTGCGCGTTTAAAGAGAGCGCAGGCAGGGAGGAAGTTGGTCCTCTGATCTCTTCTCTCTGCAGTCTGGAAACCTCACACAGTCTTCCTCCTCCTCCTCCTCCTCCTCCTCCTCTCAGCGGGGTTGGTCCAGCTGACCTTTGTCCTACTTCAGACTCCGAAAATGAGTCAGCAGGGAAGACTCCGAGTTTTCCCGGTGTGGAGATCACAGGAGTGTCGGTCACGACGGCACAGCGAGTTCATCTAGAGCATTGGTGGCAAACATGTGGTCCTGGGGCCAGAAACAGGCCGCCCAGGGTCCAAATCCGGCCCACAGGAACATCAGAGATCAATGGACGTATGCACGTATCAAGGAGACCATTTTTATTTCTGTAGTGCAGCATTGATATAATTTTGATAAATCTAGAATATAACATTTTTCTTTAGTCATTTAAATGTTATGAATTAAAAACTATGATTTATAATACGCAGTTGTAACCTGCACTCATTTCTCTGCTGATGTTTTTAAATGGCGGTTATTATCCTGCGATTTTCACTTCATTATGTGATTTTGTACATTTTCCTTTTATGGTCATAAACCTGAGAACAGGAAGTACAGATGAGTCCAAGTCTGTCACACGATGAAGCAAAGTGTTCGTCTAATTAACATGCACCGTCAGCATCAGAGTCACATCACTCTACGTCAGCTAAAATAATATATCAGTATGTAAGTGGTGCTAGTCTGAAGGCGGGGCCAAAATGTGGTCAGTCTGGTTTTATCCACCTGCTCGCCTGCTTCCTTTTTCCAAATGAAATAAATGTTTTCTTATTAAAGTATGGTGCATATACTGCATTTAAAACTGTCAAAGAGCTTTAATTTGTATCATTTTTACTAGATTGATATCAAAGTCTAAAGTTATGATCATATTTTTAATAAAACAAGACTTTCTGCTGAATCATGTTTGTCTCAATTTTAGTCCTTTAAACGTTTTCTGCTGTAAGCGCCGTGTTGGGCCTGAGGTCACTGATGAAAGCTTCTCTTACAGACACTAAACCTCTGACATGGTGTCCCACCAGGCTCTGCCCAGGACACGTCTTTCAAACAGTTATCTGATCCATGAGCCAGAGGAAATACATCTGTACGATGATGACACCCCGCTTTACGTAGCAGCTGATCCTGATGACCTGAGGCCACCGTGTCCTTTAAACCAGGCTGTGGATGAACCCCAAAGACCAAACTTCATTTTATACAAAGAGAAGAGAGCGATGAGTCAAAAGCTTTACATTTATTTGATCTTAAGAGGAATTTAAGAGTAAATATGTTGAGTAGAAGTTCTGAGGTCAAGACTGAGTTGTACCGAGGTTTGGATGTTTCTTTGTTACTCAGTTTGTTACACACTTTCACTGTTTCTCGATTACACGAAAACTAATGAACCAAAGTTCCTGAAAACTGAATCTGTACAAACGGGGCAAAAGGAGGAGCGCGTTCAGTCCAGATCCAGAATATAGTGTTTAAGGGAAGCCTGTTGAAACCTGTTTACAGCAGAAACAACTTAGTCAGGTGTTATATTTGACAGTTCAATGTCTCGTGAGAAACACTCTAAACAACTTGTCTAGAACTGTTTTTATCATCTAAGAAACATTTCTAAACTCAGACTGGTGTCAAAGGCAGAACTTGAGGTGATTCGTGCTTTTATCTCTTCTCGTTTGGATTATTGTAACGGTCTTTTTACGTGTCTCAACAAATCCGCTCTGGATCGCCTTCAGTCTGTACAGAATGCAGCGGCGAGACTTTTAACTGGTACAAACAAGAGGTCACACATTACTCCGGTTTTGGCTTCTCTTCATTGGTTGCCTGTAAATTTTAGGGTTCATTTTAAAATTTTAGTTGTAACTTTTAGAGCTCTGCACACTGAAGCTCCCCAGTATATCTCTGACCTGTTGAAACCTCATGCTTCATCCCGAGCACTTAGGTCTTCAGGTCAGAGGCTACTGGTGGTCCCACGTACCAGCTTTAAAACCCGTGGGGATCGAGCTTTTCACCGAGGCTGTGGAGCTCTCTGCTGTTGTCTTTACGCTGTCTAGACTCTACTGACTCCTTTAAAAAGCAGCTGAAGACATTTTTATACAAACGGGCTTTTAATTAATTTTAACTTGTATGTCTGATCTTATTGTGAAGCACTTTGTGATTTTTATCTGTGAAATGTGCTATATAAATAAATTTTACTTACTTAATTTCAGGAGAGAAAATATCAGTGAAACATGTTAGAAATGTATTTTTTTAAAATGAATTAATAAATCTATCTCACTGATGTGATAAAGAAGAAAACCTGGCACATAAACTTTAAACTCGTGTAAGTTTCTGTGAGATCAGCCACTCGTGTTTCTTCTTACAGTGTATAAACCTGTCATAAATGCTTAATTGAACACGTTTTCCCCGCCGTCCACCGCGTTTCCCGCTCATGAAAACGTCCGCGCCGACATTGAACGGTTTCCCTGAAACTTCATAAAGCTTTAAATAGAGCTGGCCCGTCCTCCGCGGACCGACGTGCAGCGCAGACGATGAAGGAGCCCTCGTTTCATGAGCTCTGCTGCTAAATATACTTGAGAGCAGCTGTAAATCTTTCTGTTGGGGACGAAGACGAGGGCAGCTCTCCATTTTATCATCACCCCCCTCACAGTGTTACTGAAAGCCTCACTAAATCTTTCCTTGTCCTTCTGTGCAGGTTCACCCCTCCTCCTCCTCCTCCTCCATTTTCCTGCCGTCTGGATTTTCTTTGTCGACATTCATCTCCTGTGTTGCCATGGCGCTGCTGAGGACAGCGAGTCGAGTGAGAGGTGGAGAAAAGGAGATGAAAAAAAAAATGAAAGGGACAATAAACACAGGGGCGTACAGAACGTCCTCGCGGCCC